TCCACACCTTAAGGTTCCCTCTGATTCCAAGGGTTACACACACACACACACCATTTGCAGAAGCTAGACACCTGTAACCTGCTAAACGTGTTAGTGTTGATGACCCCGATGACCCCAAGACAAGTCAACTGCGCTGACAACGCGAGCCAACGCGTAACACAAAGCGTGGGTTTCAGCCTTTTGGTGTGACTGGTCGGGCCCGGGGACCCTGGAAGACCAGAACTCCACATACCCCAAGGCTGAGTGTTACACACTTTAAAGGGGGACCTCAAAGCACATCTAGAAAAGATTTTTAAAAAACGAAGGTAAGGGTTCCTCTAAGAAGGCCCCCTTTGAAGGGGCCTGGTTAAAGGAACCCTTGCCTTCTTTTCTCTCTTTTGCCAGGGCCCCGGCCCAACAACTGTGCCAAGCGAAGCCTGCCAAGTCAATATCTTCATGTTTTGCGGGTTTTGCCCTTCAAGGGATGCAAGACTCTTCCCCTTCTGATTTGCAAGCTCCTCCCACTTACTGTAGGTCCAGGTCACTATGATCGTCACAGGTCCGAATGCTCCTGCCTGTCTCTCTCAAGTTCCTGGCACACGAACCGATCTTTCTCAGTCTGTTTGCAAACAAAACATAGTTGCAAAATGTTGCAAATCAGCAGTCCTCAGCTGCTCGCGCAGCAGCACAAATGATACGACAGAGTTGCTGTCTGGCCTCCAGACACTTCAGGGTACCAAATTGAGCTTCTTGGAAACTGGAAGTACCGGAAGCCTTTGAGTTTTTGATTCGGAAAGCAACGCGGTGTCAAACTGACGAGCTGACCTGCACCGAAAGGCCCCGAACATCTGTGCCTGAGCAAATATCTGTGCCTGACCAAATACGTCTGACAAAGCCTTCGAAAGGACATCTACCTCAAACCCTGAGGCTGCATCCTGCCCCCACACGGGTGCATCGGAAGGAGGTACGGCAAATCGGGCAAGAAACCTCTCCGGGCTCGCACAATCTCCAACCAGCTTTCAAAATACTGAAAAATGCATGTTTCACAGCAGTTGAATTGAAAAATGGACCGGAAAAATGAAAGAACCTCGGGACATGCGCTCGCTTCGAAGTCTCGCTGGATGTGGACTCCACACTTGGGACAAGCCTCTGAATGCCTGGGCTGATGCTCCTTGATTAGGAGGCCCGGTCTGCTCCACTACCATTAGGGTATGCTTGGAAATTGAGAAAACCACTACCTCCATGATACCCACCAGCACTTTTCCATGGCAAGCCGCTCACCATGCAAACCGGCCGGTGTTATCATTATATACTTTAGCTACTTGTTCTTGCCTAAAAATATCCACGAACTACAAGAACCAGCTTTGGATGCATGCTCTGCCTGATGTGTGCCACAGTGTGCGTGTGTAGATATATATATAATATATATAATATATATATTATACATACACACTACATGCTGCCTTATCAAGTTCTGCAACATCAAACAAAGCACACAGAAAAGAAGCGATCCAGCATTGGGCATGTAGCCCACTACTCACTTTTGTTCACCACAGGAACAATGAAACTTTGCCCACTCCTTAGCCCTCAACAACTCCTCTATAAAACAAGGCCCAGGGCAGCCAAGGCACTGAAGCAAATAGAGAAAATCTTTTGCTTCATTATCGGACGAGCACGGACGGAGAACCTTGGCAGTGTCTCTCGAAGCTATCGGTGAACATGCCTTTGAGCAGCCAACATCTCACTTGAAGTTCAGCGATTGCAACTTTGCCTTGTGTCAACCCTTGCTCTGCCTGAACTAAGAGTTCTGCCTGATACTCTTTGGAGTCAGAGGGAAATATAAGCACTGCAAACTCTCGCAAGGAGAGACGGCCAGGAAGACATGAGTCATACCTTCCAAGCAACGTGGCCTGTCCTTCGTACATGTTTGCAGGACTTGAATGTCTGGCTTGCTGGAGGGGCAAAAGAAGTTGAAAGAATCCTCAGAGCTACCCTTTTGCGGACGGACAAATCAGCTTGCCAAACATATGGCCAATATCCCCACAATATGCTGGTGGGTGTTTAAGTCGTTATAGGCATGCTCTTGCAGGAACAAAAAACACTTGCTGCGCAGCATTACTGTATGGCCTTGCAATGAGTTCGCAGTTGCTTCACAAATGTTCAACTATGCTTCGCTACGCTTCCTGGATTCCTAAGCTTGGTTACGGGTTCGCTACCGTCTCGAATTAATTTTCCCGTGTTACACGCTTCACGCTGACACAGCAATGCTGGGGAAGAGATCCAGAGTTGCACCTCAGCGTTTTGTGGTTTCACCAGCTCGACAGTTTACAGAAATATATTAGTTGTAAAACGAGGCGGAGGCCAAAACAAACAAAACCCTCAACTGACCTACATTCCACGGAATCACAGCGGGTCCCGCAAATGACAAGAAATCGGAGCAAACCACCCATATTCTGCAGATTGCCACAAATCGCCCGCAACAAACGCAGAACTACCTGGATGCATGACGCCAAATGACATTCAACAATGAAACTTCCCCGTCTTCTTCCGCTTCTGTGCCAGAGTTTGCAAGCAAATTGTAAAGAGTTGGAGGAGCGACTGATGCCCTGCCTTTTCCGCAGCTGCACCTCTTGCACCAAGGTGCCTTAGGAATTTGCAAAAAGAATAGCCGAGGATAGTTGTCTTAAGATTCAAGCTGATTCAAAGTCCCTGACAAATGCCTCCAAAACTGATGTCACCATGAAAATCTTGGACCAACTGCCAGAAATCCGTGTCCAGCAAGAAGCCCTGCCGAATGCACTCACCCATGCTAGAAAATGACCTCTGCTTCAGCCCGCCTTTTCAGTGGGATCCAAGCTTTGAAAGAGCACCGTGAGCGGGCAACCCTTGGGGCAAAAGGCCTGCCGCTGGACCCACTAGGCTGTCTGTGCATCTCACTGCTTTGACTTCTGAATCACTCTGAAGCTGAATCACCAAATTAAACTACCTTAACCTATAGTTCAGCACCGCATTGCCGATCAGTTGCAGCAAGTAGCGAACCCTGCTTGTGGCCAGAAAAAAGAGGCCTTCGCATCCTCGGCAGCAGCGTCCGTGGCGGCTTGGCGAAGGATGGTCTTGACCACAGCAGTCAGTAGCCTGTCAGCCACCCCGGTGGAAGAAAATATAGATCTAAGCTGCGCGAGCCTGCTTGTTGCTGTGCAACTATCTGTTGCCCACATTGGGTCATAGCCTGAGCAGGAAAAACAAACTTATTAAACACACTTGAGCGTCCGCAGGTTGATAAATCCGAAAATGAAATTGTTTTGATTATCCATTGCCGCCAAACCATTCAATTCATGGAACCGTTGACTCAAGATCAAGAAATGTGATCCGAAGATGTTGGTTTTTGGTCAAGAAATCCAACAAAACGGCGAACGCTCATTGTGTTTCTTGAAGAGCTACAATGAATTTTCAATGCGTTCCCTTCAATCTCTTCATTGCTTTCAGCTAGAACTTGACAGCTGTGGCTCTGGATGCTATACAACACCTAGGTTCTGGGCGCCCTTGCGCAGTTGTGCGAGGAAGTGCTCTAAGGACACCCCAGCACCAAAGTTAGGCGCATAGCGGTGCCACAACAAATCCATCTCCTGAAAAAATCGTCAAGGAGAGGATGAATCAATCTATTTGCCCTTGATCTCGGCCTGTCTTCTATAAGAATTTGAAGATGTGTGCCCTCTTCAAATAAAGGCGCAGAGGGATACTGACCTGCCTTCTCTGTAATTGGTATCTGCTGGTCCCGCAAGGCCTGGCATTTCAACTGATCCAACAAGTGCAAGGGCGCGAAGAGTAGACTCTAGTCCGTGTCATTTGGATATTATGCAAAGGTTGGCTGGCCACTAAGTAGCGACGCCAGGAGCCCCTAATAGCGTCCTTGCTCCCAGTAGCGATGCCAGGAGCCCCTAGTAGCGTCCTTGCTCCTAGTAGCGATGTGAGGAGCCCCTAGTAGCGTCCTTGCTCCTAGTAGCGATGCCAGGAGCCCCTATAGTAGCATCCTTGAAGCCTCCTTGGCTCAGATGGTGTGCGCTACCACCCTCCACCAGCGGAGATGGGCCGCGTGGGCCGTTGTGCTGTTGGCCCGGCCAGCAGATCTCCTGACTTGCACACCTCTCTGCCAGCCTGTCCCAAGTCCAGGTGCGCCCAAATGGACACGTTCGATGTTGATGAGTGGCCCGAACTTCAATCCAATGTATTCTATTTTGATCTTTTGGGCGTAGGAGGTGAGGGTAGAGCAATGAAGATTTTTCTGATCCCTCACGCATTATCCCTAAAGAACGCGGTACAGGGCCTGTAGCGTCCGGTGGGACACCATTGAGGGCTACACGCCGACCAGCTAAGCGCTCCTTTGCAAGGGCCCTGAAGAGGTTGCATCGAATTGGCTTTTGCGTCTACCGTGGTCACGTGCGTGTCCAGCAACCTTCAGCCTTTGAGACCGCTCCCAAGCAGACCCCTGCTCAGCCTCGCCCTGGCAGGGCAAAGGGACCGCGCCTGAGCTGCATCACCTGGAAGTGTGGGTTTTGACCACAGACGCATACAATGAGCTCCTCCTTGTTTGGCTATCCATCCATAGCATAGACATATGTTTTGTTCAAGGAACTAGGCGGGCCGTAGCCGAGGTCTGGCGCTCCTCACCATCATCAGAACACGATTTTGTCCAGCCTCAGCCATCAGCCATGCCACTGTGCTTGAAGGCCGGTTGCAACGCGTAAGATGCCCCTGGAAATGATCTCCATTGATCTTGTAAATTGCTATCAGCATCCCAACATACAAGCAAGGAATAGACCTGACCCCATTCGTGCACGAGATACATTTTGGCAAGCATGGGAAGGGTTGCTGGCAAAGTTGCCTTTTCGTAATCTCCTCTTAACGGCAGGTGACTACAATTGCACCCTGGATGTCTCCAAGTCCCGTCGAGCCAAAGATGCACAGTTTCCTGACCAAGCGGTCTTCAAGGCCGTGCTCACCAGGTTCTCTCTCGTGTACATGACCCTCATCCTAGCTATGAAGGACCTGCAGGTCAATCTAACATAGACTACATCTTTGCACATCGACCCCAGCTTGACCAACACTCACGTCAAGCCCGGTGCATCAGGTCCTTCCCATGGAACTCACATCGTGAATATCAAGATCACGCACCCGTTGCCTGCGCAATTCCGCTGAATTGGAAGGCCTGCTACAGTCAGCAGAAACCGAACTCCCATCGTCTGACATATGCCACAACAATGCAAACGCGCCAGGAGTGGGACATGTCTTCACCCAACTGGCTGGAGTTCGAGAGCTTGATTGACCGACTGAGGCAAGCCGTCGACCAGACTGCACACCCTAATCAGACTGTTGTAAAAGCATGTTACGAAAGCTTTCGTAAAGCACCTTCAACCAGAGATGCAACGTGGACCATGCATACCACCAGGTCATTGGTGGCTCAGAAATGATGGCGACACCTCCACTTGCCGCGTCATGCTCAGATTTTGGGCCCACAGAGAATGTCCCAAGCCTTTCGTGCGTGGGTCCATATGACCAAACACGCACAGCTCAGGAAACGCCTTCGTAAGCATTGCCAAGATCAACGCCGAGAGCGTGTGAATCGGGTCATCCATGAGGCCACCCGAGCAGCTTCACGACATGATTCTAGGCGGCTATACACGGCGATTCGCTCTCTGACGCCCAAACAACCTACTTCTAGGCAGATCAGATTTCGTATAATGGCGGGGTTGCCCAATCGCTCAGGAAGAGCTTGTCCAATTGATCACTCACTCCGAAGCCATATTTCGAGCCACTTCCTCAGACACACCACCCACGCAAGCCACGCCACTTGCTTTCTCTCAGGAAGATCTGGAACGTGAGCTACGAGCAACCAAGATCAACAAGGCCACTGATCATCAAGCACTTTGCACCACAGCTTGCGTGTTGGTTGTACAGGTACTTGACGACCGCTTGGATGAGTGACCATCCCTATACGTCCCTTCTGCCTGGAAGGACGCAGTTTTGACTCTTTTAGCCAAGAGAAGCATTTCTAGTCCCGGTGACCTTAGACCAATAGCATTAAGTTGTGGACTAGGTAAATCTGTGTTAGGAACCTTGGTGAAACGCGCGCATTCCCATATGGCCGAGACCTTAATCGTATACCCACTGCTTGCATATACTGCACAGAGAGGGGTCTTTGAAGCCCTCTGCTATGCCTTCGATCACTGCCATCAGGTTCGCGCAGCGTGTTTGAACGCCAATCCATCACATTGGATGAAACAGGCAGGACACTCACGACCCGACTTGTTGGTGGTATCATGTTGTCTTTAGACCTCACTCAAGCCTTTGACAGGATGCCACGCTCGAAGTGGTATGAGGGCCTGCTCACTTGTGGCTGTCCGCAACGGACAGCCCTGTTGCATATAAACTGGTTGAAGGATGCTAAATACGGAATCCACCACCGGGGTCTTTCTTCTGAAATAGTCACCACCTGTGGGGTTAGACAAGGCTGTCGTGGGAGCCCCCTTGAATGGAATGTTTTCATGAAGGTCATCCTTAAAGCCTTGTGTACTGTTTTTGGTACTGAAGTGGGCCTGGAAAATTGACTCCGCCCCAAGTGTACAGCAAGCATTGATTGACATTGGTCAAACACTCGAGATCCTTGGACAGCATCAACTTCTTTTCAACCCCAAAAAGACTGTCATGCTCGTTCGTCTCGAGGGCTCCCAGGCGGCCAGAACGACCAAACAGTTTCTAGTTCGCGCCAAAGAAGGCCTATTTGCTAAGATCCCAAGAATCAATGGTGGAACCTTGCTTCCTGTTGTTCACTCCCACACCTATCTTGGACGCAAGCTTTCGTACCACTGTTTTGAAACTCTCACCGTCAATCACAGAATGCAAATAACGCCATACCATATCCCCACGAACGAGAGCCCACACGCGGAGATCTTGCATACTCAGCTCCTACCTCCACGGTCTTGCAGCAACAGGCCTCACTCAGGCTGGACAGCACAAGCTGATCTTTCGATGTCGCGCAGACATTCGATTACTTGGCCAATCTCCTGGACATGTTACTCACGAGTCTAATATAGACCTGGTTCGTCGACTTGGTCTTGTTGAACCAATTCAACATGTTCAGGCACAGTGGAACCAGCTTTTTGCCCGCCTTGAACACCAGCAGGCACACCTTGAACAACATGACTTTCTCAGAACACTATACCACTTGCAGCCACTAAATGCAGGGTCCTGTCAGCCTTTGATCATGTCAAGGTTCAGCAACCGATTTGGGACTTGTCATGTCCGTACTGCCCCCAGATCTTTGAGAACATGACCACGCTCAATCGTCACATGGTTGTAACACATAAGATCACACACGTCTCCTTGCCATTCCATCCAGAACGTGATGCGTTGCTAGGCCGCCCACAGTGCCGGCACTGTCTCTATCGATTTCATGAATGGAGAGGCTTGAAACGACACATCAGCTGCGGAGGCTGTCCAATGTTTGACCCTGAGCTGGCTCCACAGGTACCTCCTGCAGACCAAATGATTTTCCGAGAACCTGCTCAAGCTGATGTTTGGATGGCCATGATCGAACAGCCTGTGCTCCTTCAGACTCTGCGTGAAAACTATGCGTTATGTGGTAGATACTTTTTCATGGGGAAATCCTTGCTGGAGCACCTGAACCTCAACCACTTCGAGATGTGGAATGAATCAAAATCATACGCCTACCTCATCATCAATGATCTTCGCGATGCCAAACCCTGCCAAGCCTGTGGTACCACCATGACGAAAGCCCATTCCTGTCATGTGATCAGGCAGATGGCCTCATACACATCATGCGTGCTACCAACCGCCATGCCAAGGACATTGCGCAGGGCAAACCAACTGCACCTATGCCACCCAAGCCTGAAGATCATTGGCAGATCCCAGAATCAGGCCAGAGAATTCGCACGACGCCAAGAACTGGCAGTCAAGAGCCAAGTCATTACCCCGGAGGGCAAATGGCCCTTTCTTCAATGGTGCAACGAGGCAAAACGTCTCAAGCCGACCTCGAGACCAGCCATCGACATGATCAAGATGCAGAAGCGCCTGGAGGACATGGTGGAAGCTGCCCAAGCGGAGCAACACATCCTGAGATTCAAAGCACTGAAGAACACCTCCAACGAGATCAAGCATCAGCAGATCTGCCCCTTCCTGCTCCACCTCTCCCTCGGGAGAGCACTTTGTGGGAACTTCTCCGTCTGCTATCTCGCAACTCCTTATGGCTGGTGACCCAAGCGAGAGTCCGCCCTCACAATCAGAGAGAGAACCCTTAATTTGGCCACTTCCTTAGCCAAATCCTCGAGACAGCAGGACACGAGAACATCCGGTGGCCTTTCCAACAAGAGGAAGTAAAGGGCACCTTGATGGCATTGCGCCTCATCAATCCGGAAAATCTATGCTTTGCGCATGCCACCATCTTGGCATTCTTTTGGGGGTTCCTACACCTGCGCCACTGCGAGTGGACGGATCTTGGCGAAGCTGCCAGGCCGCTCGTGGACTTGTGTGGTCGCAGCTCCTTGTGGGTCGATGTCCGTGATCTTGACTGCTGGAATGACTGGCTTGCTTGTTGGGGAGACGGCAGACAGCATGATGCTCATGAATTTCTGAAGGCTTTTTTGGGCCTACACACGTCCACCTGCTCTGACCGGCTCATGGGTCAGGAAGATGTACACAGAAGGGCTCGAGGAACGACGGCATACCTGCCACCTTCTTTGATCACCATGTGACATCCACGCTGAAAAG